TTTGAAAAGCTGTATGGTGACAGGGAAGGGAAGAAGGGCCACTTGTGGAGGGCCTAGAACTTGGAAGCAGCATGTCAGATGCAAAATTAGCAGTAATGAATTATAGGGAGGTTGGATTGTTTTTTATTTTGTTTTCATCGTGTGGCAACAATGGTATATTGTTGTTGTTGGTGGTGGTGGTGGTGGTGGTGATGTGTGTCTTCAAGTCATTTCTGACTTATGATGACCCTAAGCTAAGTTTTCTTGGCAGGATTTGTTCAGAGTAGGTTTGCCATTGCCTCTCCCTGAGGCTGAGAGCATGTGACTTGCCCAAGATCACCCAGTGGGTTTCAAGGTGCAGCTGGGAACCAAACCCTGGTCTCTAGAGTCACAGTCCAACACTCAAACCACTATGCCATGCTGGCTCTTAATGAGTAAAATCCAGCAACCCTAGGATTGTTTTTATGTGTGTATGTTCAATATTAATAAAATGTAGGCATATGACTCCAACATAATCATTTTTTTCTTTCTATCTCCTCTCTGATTCTTTGCCTGATGAAGAAGCCAGTGGAGCTTCAAAAGCTTGACTCATGTATTTTGTGCATTTTTCTTAGCCAATAAAGGTATCACTGATTTGTGGATTTTGGATGTTATAGTATTTTCCATTTCCTTTTCCTAGTTAATTTTAATGTTCATTCTAGAGGCATTTTGTGTGAATTTTTCAAATTTCATACCATTCTTTTACTGTTCCTAAGATTCCCCCCCCCAAAAAAAAAAAATAAGTAACAGAAAGTAACAAGCAACAAAACAATTAATAGACTTTGGGGGTTTTTTTGTTTTTGTTTTTGAAAAAGAATGTCTTCAGTAGCAACAACATATTACAGTACTTGTCAGATTCTGTAACAAAAGAGAATAAATTATTTTCAAAAAGTAACTTTCCAAGCTCTAGAACAAACACTAGCAGTAGGGGTTTCCAAGTAAGTGGGGGTAGTCAATCCACTTGAGATTTTAATTTGCATTTTAAAGGTGGTATCCAGCCCTTTGGGGAGATAGATCTGGATAACTCCTTTAAAGTCTGAATTAAAATCCAAGATGGAGTCACTACCCCATTGACATGGAAGCCAAAGTACTAGCATTGCTTTAGATTTAAACCACAATGTAGAATGAAAAAATACAATAAAAAATATTAAGTCATCCCTCCTTATCCATGCATTCAACCATCCACAGTTTGAAAATATTGTTTTTTAAATATAAATTCCAAATAGTAAACCTTGATTTGGCATTTTATATAAGGGACACCATTTTACAGTGCTATTATATTTAATGGGACTTGAGCATCCATAATTTTTTATATCCACGGGGGATTCTGGAATCAAACCTCAGCAGATACCAATGGCCCACTGTAGTTTCTTGAATCAGACCAAGAGGCTATATATTTTTCTGTTGTTTGTAAGCGTGACTCCTACAGTCAATGGGAGTCATATGTCTCTCAAAAAGAGGACCAAAGATGAAGCACTTGTCGTCTATAAGCCTGTCATTCCTGTCCCACTCACATCTACATTGCTTGGGGGCTTTTTGAGACTGGTGATAGCTTAAAACTTTTGAATGACATTCCACAAGAGTAACACAATCTTAGAGTGAGCCTTTCTCTCCTAAATATCCTTTCTTCCCCTCATTCTAAAGCTCTTTCCTCATTGTAGAAGGCAAAAACATTACCTGTTTCTGTGTAGTTTGTACCTTTGAACTGCAACCTGCTACACACTTACCCAGCAGCAAGTTCCATGAAACCTAATAAAGCTTACTTCTGATAGACATGCATACAGTTACACTGTAAATGGACTAATACATGCATGGATCCTGGAATCAGGAAAAGGGGGAATTGAGCCACGCTAAAGGGATAAGCCTCCTCAAAATGATTAGCCTGTAAAGATCAGGACCATCAAATGCCTATGTAATTGGCTCCCCTAAGGAATTACTCGTCAGAAGTGTTGTAGCTTTTGGTCATCTTTACATTGGCAAAATAAAGTCGTCTATATTTTCCCCTTTACTTGATACATTAATTGGATGCTTTACACAGTTTTATAATATTTCATTTATTATTTTGTCATTGTCTTTACAGTTGTCACATTGCTTTAGTTGGTGGTATTGTTCTTATTATTCTTATCTCATATTTTCACTGTTTTCTACAAATGTACATGCAAATATGCAAAATTCATAATGACCTGTTTACCAGTCTTGAGCCCACTAACTTAAAAGTGTTCTGATATCTCTGAATAGATGTAGTTTCACTTTGCTCTCATGGAAGAATAGACCTGGTCAAATATCATGCTATACAATGCCAGCAGATGGCAGTTGAGAGAAAGAGATATGCAAAAAGTTGAAAATTTAATGTAATTCTCTCTCTGATATCCCACTTCTTTTTTATACACTACCTCTGATCTATTTTGTTCATCCTAGACATCCTCTAACATGCCTTGGTTCTCTAACAAAGGAAGGTGCAAAGAATAACATTTTCTGATGTTTTGGGATATTGGCTATGGGATTTTGCACCAATTTTTATTAAAAATTAAGACAAGCAATTGCACAGCCAAAACAAACACAGAAAGGAATGCAAAGACATGACATCTACTAAGAAACATCCCAGTATCAAAGATAAGTAAAATAGATAATTTTCTTGTCAGTTTGGCAAAAAAAAAAGGTGCTTACAAGTTACTACTAATGTCTTTTCAGCTCATTTAGGAGTTTTTAGATTTGATTGGGGTTTGCCCACGTCTGCAAGGTTGGTGCCTCCTGGAACACAAACACATGTAAGCAGAGCATTGTTGCTAATATAAAACAAAAATAATAGAAAGCTGGTTATTTCAAAAAAAGAAACCTCCGCATAAGGTGAGCTAAAATGGTGTGTGGCTGTCTCTTGCTTATAAGACCAATAACTATACACTGTTCTTCTACCCCTAACCACAGAATATCTTGAGCCACCTGTTTTGCTGCCTAGGGCAGAATAGAAAATGGCACCCCACCCAGTAGCATCACTCAGGGGTGCAGACTGCACCAGGTGACACCTTAAGTGGGGTTTGATACCACTGCTCCTCAAACATCTGCATTCTGGCAGAAACAGGCTGTGGTATTTGCTGTGTCCCTTTAAAATGCTGGGAGAGATGGGATGAGTGGGATGAGGCTCAGAAAGAGGAGAAAAGAGAGACCCCAGATTTTTTTTTTAAAGAAAAAATCAATTTTTCATTTTTTTAAAATGAAAAAAGGGCTGTCAACAATGAAAATGTTGTGCGGCGGCAGCGGCAACCTTCGGCCTGGGCCGGTAAGTCCGGGGCCAAGGCCTTAACTGGCCCCCAGGCCGTAGGTTGCCAGTCCCTGATTTAGACTGTGAGTATGATATTGTAATCTAAAAATATAATTTGCTAGTTATTTATGTTACAACTATTACCATTACATTCAGTGATATATGGGAATTATGATTTACAAGTAACAGTAGTACAAAAAAAAAATCTTACTAAGGATTCTCTACATGGTGTGTTAAGGGAGCAGGAGGTCAAGAGGGTGACACCATGACTTACCACACCAAGTGACACCAACCCTAGTGACACCACTGCCCCCATTCATCCAATATAGGCACATGAGGCTTTAAAAATCACACCAGCACCTTCCCCTGATTTTTAGCACTAAATGTGAGAGAACAACAGAGTAAGCCACTAGAAATGTGCTGCCAATTCATGGCACTCCAAGTCTGTCTGTGGCTATGGCCTTACACTGCCGCATAGTAGAGCCACCCTGGGAAGGGCTTAGGATTCCATTCGGTACAATTCTCCCCAGAACATCAGCTAGTTGCAAATAACTACTCCAAGATCCTCAATGGCCAGGAGCCCCATGCTGTTGCTGGTGCCTCACAAATAACATATAAACTCTTAAGTTTCTTATGCTGAGATACTGACAAGACAGAAATTCTCCTGACCATTGGATACATGGTGGAGATAGGGGTGATGGTGGCAGCAATACGATGTCTTCCCCTCTCTCCTCCCCAAGGGTTTTTGTGTTTACTGCTCATACCAACCCCATTTCCCAGCTGCAGGGTGAGCCAAAATGTAGATGGAGCACTGATCTTTGATTATTCCAGCAAGGGCAAAGGAAAAAGGGATGCCCAGAGCTATTCTTTCTCTCAGGCCTCAGAAGAGCTGGCTCTGGCTGAAGACTGGGCATCTCCTGTTCTGATAGCAACACCAAATTGCTATAGTGCAAAGCCAGCACTCAAATACAACAGCTCTGACATGTATACAAGGTGGCGGGGGATCTTGTTCTTTGTAGGGCTCCAGAACCTCAGTCGTTTCAATCCAGCCTTGATTGAAAGGCAAGGCTGCCTCAAGACCTTTGACAGGCTGAAGCAAAGGACAAAAATGACACCTTACACCCCTATGCCATTTACAGAAGCTGACTGAATTCACACTGGATCTTAATAATGGCAACAGAACAACATCCTTCATTGTACCTGAGGGTTAGGGAGACTAGCTCTGTCCTCAGAGAGGTTGTCACTGTTACCCATTTTTTAGCATCTGCTACTTGAGATGGCTGCTTTCCTTTGCCACACATAGGACCAGCTCTCTTAAGAGGATCCATTATTAGGATAGCACTGGGGCATTCAACATGGGTATTCGAATTAGAAAGGCAGACATACTACGTCAGATGCAAATCTTGATCCATCAGCAAACCAGTGAATTTGCCGAGTACACTAATGACCTCTGCGCATCTGATGGGCATTGTAAATCCCTGAAAAATGTATGTGTTTCAGCTAAACATTCTGTAATCATGTGGGCATGCTTCTTTTGTAGAGGAAAACTCTTACATGGGAATTGACCATACATCATTTTGTGGTGTGCCTTCAAGTTTTTTCTGACCTAAGCTGACCATATCATGGGTTTTTCTTGGCAAGATTTGTTCAGAGTGGGTTTGTCTTTGCCTTCCTCTGAGGCTGAGAAAGTGAGACTCGCAAAAGGTCATCCAGTGGGTTTCCATCACTGAGCAAGGATTCAAACCTTGTTCTCCAGAGTTGCAGTCCAGTGGCCAAACCACTACACCACACTGGATCTCTTCCATACATCTACAAGTGCTTAATGTACAGAAGCTTTCTTTAGTCTGTTAAAGACTGAGTATACAACTCAATCCAATCCATGTTTACTCAGAAAACTCTCTTTGTATGATGGTGTTTAACTGATTATGAGTGCAATCTAAATTCCATAATATACATGTATGATATAGATTAGACCTGAAGTCTACTTCTTATTTTAATTTTGAGACATCCAATTATCTCTTTCTGGGCTAAAATATAATAACTGGAGTAGAATGTTGTGATATCATGGATTTGTATATAAAATTGTTGCTTAATTTATTGTGAGATAAGCTGCTGTCAGGAGGGGGGAGAATGGAGTATTGGAGTGAATAATTGGTGGAAATGTCTGAGAGGATTTGCATGGGACAGTTGGTGAATGACATTTTGAGTGGAATCTGATGGAGTGAGAAATCTCTGAGTGAGACTAGGGAGATGTGATGGGAGCATAGCGGGATGATTCTGTCACTATCACACAATTGTGTGGAGATTATCAGACGACGTCGTGCGACATCACAATAATCATGTCATTATCATGTGAATAAAGGGAAACATTTCTGTTACTTTTTATTCACGGGACTTTCCCATGAATAAAAAGTGACGCTATAAATCCTCTTTATTCATGAGATAATCATGCGATTATCATGTCGTGCAACGTCATCTGATAATCTCTGTGCAATTGTGCGATAGTAACGGAAGCATCCCACTATGCTCCATTCGCTTTTGCCCGTGTGAAAATCTCCTAGGATTGGAGTGAGAGGAGTTTGAGTTTTGTGATTGGTAAAGATCTGGTTTAGCCTGAGAGGAGAGAGTGTGGTGTTTCAAAAGTTATACAGTATATAAATAATCTGCTCTTTTATATTTAACTTCTATAAAACAAAAAAGATTTTTTTTTATACACTTTTAGCCTTCAGAACTGTTATCATTCTGAGAGCTGGGTTTCACACAAGGTGTCTGTGTTGGCAGCACAGGTGGAAGGGTGGTGGCCTGTTGAGGATAAAATTAATATAAATTCTCATATGAACCCTTGAAAGCATTTAGACTGAACTCAGAGTTGGTGTCACACAAGGAGGACAGGAGAAAATCTTTACATGTGACAGAGATGGGAATCAGGGAAACTCAGGGATCATTCAGACATCTTTTTTTTTTTTTTACCTGAACAATGCGAATAACCTCACTCATATATTCCGGGTTATTCACACTATGGAACCACATCTCTCTGCAAACCACATTTCTCTGCATCTCTGCAAGTTCAGTTGCTCACTTGTGTGGCACCCTTCCCTTGTCCTTGCACCCACCAGCACCCCTCAGTCAGTCAGAGGTTCCTCCTCCTGCTCCTCGGGGGGATTGAGGGGATCGGCATCCCTTTCTCTCTCCCCCTCTTTTACTCTGTCTTTCCCTCTTTCCCCCCCAGCAGTAGCTGTTCTGCTGGGGAAGGGGTGGTGCTTTCTCAATCGCAGGGCTGTCAACAATGAAAATGTATCTGAAATGCATTCAAGGTATGCAGAGTTTTATCCCAAATCTATCTGGGTCTATTCACATTGGTTATTCACACTGCCAATGATGTGAATCTTTTTTTTTTTTTAAACTCAGAAAATACCCCAATATCAATTATCTATTCAGGATGCATGTGAATAACAAAGATTCAACCTGGATTCATCCTGGATTATTTTCACCATCTGAATAGCCCTTCAGCTGCAACTAAGGATAGCATATCTCTGCTGAATGAATGCCTGGAAGAGGTAATGGGGCTGGATGAAGAAAAACAAATTGAAACTGAATACAGACAAGATGGAGGTGCTTACTATCAAGGGTCCTAATTTGGGGCTGAAGGTGTCTCAACAGTTCTGGATGGGGTCACATTTCCCCTGAAAGACTGTGTTTGCCAGTTTGAGAATGCTCCTGGATCCATCTCTCCAAATGTCGGTTCAGATAGATGATGGTCAAGATAGACATGGCAGTCAAGAGTGTATGTTATCAGCTTTGGTTGATGCACCAATTGTGCCCCTTCCTAGAATCAGAGGATCTAAAAATGGTAGTGCACATGCTGGTAACCTCAAGGCTGGACTCCTGAAATGCAGTCTACATTGGGCAACTTTTGTACCACGTCCAGAAACTCCAACTGGTTCAGAATATGGCAGCTAGATTGATTATGGGTATATCCAGGAATGATCACATCACACCAATGTTAAAATCACCCCAGTGGCTGCCAATTTCTAGGCAAGGTACAAAGTATTGACTACTACCATTTACCATAGTTTGGGTCCAGGTTACCTACACGATCACCTTCTCCCATACATTCCACCCTGTACACTCAGGTCATCTGGGAAATGTTTGCTCCAACAAGTCAGAGGACCTTTACATCTGCTGCCTCCAGACTGTGGAATGACCTGCTGGAAGAAGTATGGCAGCTGAAAACGCTGACTGCATTTAAAACAGCATTAAAGACATATCTCTTCCAGCAGGCCTATCCAGTCAATTTTGAATCACAACTTTTTAATTTTCTATATATGCTCTTATGAGTGTATTTTAATGGTTTTATAGTATTGTATTTTAATTGTAGGTTTATGTGTTTTTGTATTTTAATGTGCCGTACCCCACCTTGAGTCTTAAGAAGAGGCAGGAAATAAATGCAATTTTTTATTGTTGTTCCTGCTGCTGAAAAGTGCTTGTCAGACGCTTTGTTAAATGAGGTTTGAAATATGCACATTTTTCTAGGTACAGTTTTCAGAGGTGCAGGTTTTTGGTGGGTTTTTTAATTATTATTATTCAGAAGCATCTGCAGCTGCCTGTCAATGTAAGAATTCCTCAGAGAGAACCATGTCTGCCCTGTGGACAGTCCGGGGACTGTGGACTGAGGCTATTTTCTCTGCCTGAAATTAGACTCCTCACACCTTCCTAAGCAGATTCTTGTTACACAACTAGCAACCAGATGTCTCGGAAGGAACCTGCCTCATTTATGACAAAATTATAAATCAAATGGACAAAAACAATATGATGGAAAAGGAGTTTTGGGAATGAATAAAACAAGTTGTGGAAGAGGAGGTGTGAAGAAGAAGAAAAAAACCCTCAGAAGCAGGCCATTTAGATGCCTGGGGGTGTGATTACATACACAAGTGTCAATTACAATTAGTGACTGCTGTACTGTGAAAAGGAAAGAACTGTTGGTCATTGTTGTCCTTAAATATGTCATTGTTTTCTGGAGAGCTTCATCTTTGATGTCAGCTATATGTCTGCCAAATTTTATCCTTTGCCCCAGCTCTGAAACATTTACAAACTGTAATGAGCTTTGTCAATTAGAATGGAAGTTTGTGTTGCAAAGGTGCAAAGTACAAGGCATCTTGTATCGTGCAAATCTGATACCAAACTGAAGCATTAATACATTAATACATGCACATAGCCCCCTCAGGCTTGCACAAGGAGGATACTAGTATTTTAATATTTATCAAACTATTATTCAGATTTGGACAATCTTTTTGAAGTTCAAACACATTATAAACCACTGTTGTGTTAAAGTTGCTACCATCTGTGCTCCTTTAAAACCCATTTTCAGCAACCAACATCATTCCAGACCATCTTAACCCCTATTCTTTCTGTACTGTCTGCTGCCAGATAAAAGCTACACAATCTCATCCTCACTACTATTGTCCTCGCCTCTCCATCTTGTCCTATAACCAGTTTGGAATGTTATTTTTAAGAAGAAGGAATATAATGTCATGCTGCAGCCATCCATCACAAAGTAGTAGACAATGATGACCAGAACATTGTCGTACTGTTGCTCAGTTATGGATAGTTTCAGTAA